ATTTATATATATATATATATATATATATATATATATATATATATTTTAAGATCGATAAAATCACTCTTCATTGAATATTTACTCTAGTTATGCATCATCTTCATCAATTAAGGTATTTGTAGTCTTCAAAAATAATTTACTAAGAATAAAATGGAAGTATAAATTAAGATAAGTTAGCTGCTACGACAGATTAAAAGTACAAAAATTACTAATTAAATCTTAATGAGTATTTATTAGATAAAGTGAACTTGTTACCCAGGTACAACAGGATATCTGGTGACTCCCCATTCATTCTTGAGAAAGTGAAGATCTGTGTGGCAAACTCCACAATACAAGATCTTGAATTGCACATCTTTCTCCCCAGTAGCCCTGCACCATACATACATTAAATCATTTTTCTAAATAGTACACAAAGCATCTCGTGTTCACACAGATCAGAAAAGGATTGCACTACTAAAAATCACTATTTTTCCATTAAAAATTTCCACCTAAAAAACATTCCGTGCCTATTCCCACACTACATCAAAAATTATATTCATCGGCAATTAAATAATGACAATATCTTAATTGCCGCTAAATATGTACTTTTAGCGGCAATTAACACTCTTTGTATATGTTCCTAAAGCCTTAAACGACATCAGATCTAGTGGCACTTAACTAATGCCGGTAAAAACTTTAGCACTCTTTATTAATGTGTCTATTTATTGCCGCTAAAAGTTATTTTTTGTTGTAGTGCCACAATTATTTTGATTGAATTGGTGAGAAAAGAAAAATTAATAGTGTTTTTACACGAAAAAATTAGGAAGCTTTCAGTATTTCAGTAAGAATGAATCTGTTTTTCATAATGCATTTTCCTAGCTAGTGAGCTGGTTCGGTGATAAATAGATGAGAAAATCATGTTTTATAACACAATTTTCTCATTGATTCGCAATGAGAAAAGCCTATGTTTCTAATAGTCATGATTCCATAGTTCGAACTTGTGATCAACCTATAGATCACATAGAGACAATTTTACAGTTGCTCAAAGACTTCCCTTCAAAGGAGGGATGTACTAAATTCAATGCAAAAGAAAATATTTACACAATTAGATTAATTATATAAGATATATGTCATATGAGAACCATTAATTTGTAGTCATATAAGAATGATAACTAACATACTATGATAAGTTAAACTACATTATATAATTTATAACAAAAATAATAATTTTGCACTGTCAATTTATATAACTTAAAATTTTGATTTTTTTTTTATACATATAGAACTATAATTTGGACTTGTAATAACATAATGAGTACCTTCTTGAGAAGTTGAAAGGAGTAAGAACACCAGAAGTATCTCTAGCTGCCCATCCAAAAGCCTTAATTGGATGTTCTTCTTCTGGGGATTTTGCCATTTCAACAAAATAAATAAAAAAATATAACCCAAAGAAAATAGCTAGATATATAAAATATTAAAACTATGAATGCCTAGATGAGACTGAGGAAACTCAAAGGGAAAGCCAATATTTATACTAGTTTGATAAGGTTTTTGCTTTTATTGCTATTTTTACTTGTTTCAAAAAAAATATTTAATGGAGTTGAGGCAAAGGCAAATTTTTATTATCCGTCTCGAATTATTTGTCGTGTTTTTTTTTTTTTTTCTCACATTATCCTTAAAAAAAAAATTTAGTTAGAAGGAGTTTTTGATTATTTTGTGCTTATTTATCTGATCTTGAGATATAATCTTTCTTCATTAAGTATTTTTTTCTATTTATAACGTGTCATCAGTATTTGCAGTTTTCAAGAATAATAATACTAAGGATAAAATTAAAGAAAAGTTTTAAAGTTTTGAAAAGACAAATAATTTGATTTTTTTTTTTTTTAAATAACCACGATAGATAATTTGAGATAGAAGGATATGTGGATATGAGGCCTAATGAATAGGTATTTTTGAGGGTAAAAGTAGTTGTAAAGTTAGAGAAATGTAGTAAATGATTGTCATAATGGTGCAACTACCAAGTTTGATGAAAGTTAATATAAAGACAATTATTTGCAATCAATTTTGGTTCTTGTTAGACTGTTTTTTTAAATCTAACAACTAATTTTTACTACATTAACAAAATAAATGCATCACATGATCTTTTATGTATATTTTTATCACTTAACCGTCATTAATTAAAATATATTTTTATTTAACTAAAATAATTAATAGCACCAGAGAATATGATTTAGTACTGGACAATGAAGTGGATGAGGAATCATAAGATTTAACACACGATTTAATCTAGAAAAGATATTTAATAAAATGATTATTAATTAAAATACACCTAAACTAACCAGACACTACTATTACGAAAAAGTACTTCCAATTAATACAATTAAGATATGGACAAATTATGGGTGCATATCTTGATGCATGTGCTAGATATAATTGCATAATATTGAATTCTTGATGCATGTGATAGATATAATTGCATAATATTTGTTTGGTAGGAAAGAAAATATTTTTTATTTTTTTAAAATGTTGAATTAGTTAAATTTTTGGACAACAATTTTTTAAGAGAGCATATTTTTTAAAAACGAGGAATATAATTTCTTCTAGTGGAATTAAGAAATAAGTTTTATAAGTAATATTATAATGTTATTTCAGCCGACCTTTCGGCTTTCAGTACACCTTATCTTCATTTTTATCACGGTAGACTTTGTCATTCTCACCATTTCACATCATTACCTTCCATAATATTTTTCTATATTATATATAAACATTTTTAGAATAATATTTTTTATTTACATATCAAACACAAAAAAATAAAAAGATTTTTCATAAACCATTTTACCGTATGAGTTCGTATAATTCAATAAATTTAGCGCAATTTTTTATTTAATATATATAAACAAAATAATTAGATATCGATAATTTTAAAAGACTAGAATTCAAAATCTTGAGAAAAATCAAATTTAAAGATTGAGAATTATGAAAAAAAAAAATTGGCTAATGGACATGCCATATCAAATTATTGGATCAAACATGTCAAAATAGCGTAACTTGATGGGTCAAAATGCAACTGAATTCAAATATATAAAAACAAATTTGAAGATTAGGAATCCAAAATAACAAATATTTAAGGGTGAAAACACCCTAATGGCCAAAAATCTACTATTTTGGCCATAAAATGTCGGTTTTATTTTAAATTCATAACAATAGTATTCAGACCAGTTTGCATGCACATTTAGTCAACTTTCAATGTTTTCCCAACATCGAGCACAAATCGATACTTGACATCTGATTTCGAAAGGCGTTTCATAGCAATATTTACATAATCCATTGAAACAACTTCAACTTCAGGTGTAATTTTATGCTTTGCTGCAAAGTCAAGCATTTCTTGTGTCTCTTTCATTCCTCCAATAATGCTTCCTCCCATTATTTTCCTACCTGAATATTGAAGAATCCAAATTATAAAGAAATAAAAAGAGAATTAAGAAAATTGGCGGAATACATTGATAAACCCTTAAACATTCTAATAAATTTTATGTAGAATTCAAATTATGACATATTTTAATTGAACATCTGAATACATGATGATAAAGTGTTCATATTACCGATTCAAATTTTAGAAAAGCTTTTGCGTGTATTCTCAAGGCCTATCATGTAAATAAGTTAACTATATAAAAGGTCATCTCCTTTAATTATATACATCAACCTCAAGTTGGAATAAGTCTGAGGTTTTACGACTTATTGAGGCTAATACATATAATTAACAAAAGTGATATATTTTTAGGGTTATACTTATCTACGTAACTGACAGTTGTAAAAACACACGAGGAGACTTCCCAATTTTTGAGCTGAAAGTGTCTAATATCAAGTATTAACACTTTATCTTCTATTTAGGTACTCAATTGAGACAAACAATCGCTCGAGTGTCTAAATAAAATTTATTAACATGAGATATCGATGTATTCCGCCAAGAAAATTCAGTAAAGATTATTTATTTATTTTACCCATAAGCAAAGGGAAAACTGGCAACTCAAGTGGCTTTGGTGGTGCACCAACCATTACAAGCTTTCCATGAGGCTTTAATATATTGAGCAATGGAGCAATTGGATGTTCTGCTGAAACTGTGTCTATAATTCCATCTAATGTGCTTGTTGCACCCTGCAAAATAATAATAATAATAACTCATACGATATTTGATATCCACATATATGATCGTCAATTCGTACACTATACGATACTCACATATTCACGATATAGTTATGTAAAATAAGTAATACAATTCGACAAGCATTAGCTAATTTAAGACCACAAGACTGAAGGACATTTTAGTAATTCGACATGCCATTAGTTTAAGACCACAAATTCAAAAATCTGTTTACTTTCTAAAATTTTGTGTCAAGTTAAAATCAGACAAACAAATTAAAACGAAGAGAACATTGACCGACACATCTTAATCCAAGCAAACATTAGAGGATTTATAATACGACATGTATACTCATACCGTTTTAATAGGCGAACGACATCCAACTTAATACATCTTATAGTTCTTAGATGGCAAATATATAGTCGATATCGAGATGCCAAACTAGTTAATAAGTGTATAATAATTGTAATTTTCAAGCATAAACATAGAGAAAATACCTGCATTTGTTCTTGATCATGACTAATCAAGAATGAATTAGCACCAAGATGTTTAATTGCTTCATCCTTCTTATTAATAGTAGTACTAATAACAGTCACATTGCATCCAAAAGCCTTTGCAAATTTTACAGCCATATGGCCCAGCCCACCAAGGCCCACAACTCCAATGTTCAATCCAGCCTTATCAAGCCCAAAATATTTCAATGGGCTATATGTTGTGATACCAGCACACAACAATGGGGCAGCTTCCATCGGTAAATTCTCCGGCCAACGGAGCACGAAATGCTCGTTGGCCACCATGAGATCGGAGTAGCCTCCGTATGTGGTGGTTCCGTCAGAATAAGTTGTACTATACGTACCAATGTGGCTAGGACAATATTGTTCGAGGTCATTGGTACAACTATCACATTTTTGACATGATCCTACGAGTACTCCAACACCTACATTGTCCCCCACCTTCACTTTTTCTACCTTGCTACCGACCTCGGTTACCACGCCCACAATCTCGTGCCTGTAAAAATACACGTAAGATATTGTTTGAACAGAGGTTTGATATCTAAATATTTTTATACAAGTGCAAGAATTGTATAAAAGAAAGAATCTAGACATGTCAAGATTGAAATTCGAAATGATTTTTAATCTTAATCAGAAATTATTATTTTCAACAGAATAATAAGCAATCGTACGAAAAGGCAAAAAAAAAAATGAAATAATTACTATAACATATGCATGTTAGATTGTACTAAAAACAAGTGAATTTATGACTACAACATATAGTGTTTGGGACCATAACATGTTACCTGCAATTATTAATAGTTTGGTACAAACAATAATAATACTATCCACTGTAAAAGTCCTCCATTGTGAGTTGATGTTATAGTGGTAAAATTTTGGCCTACATTGGCACTTGTCTTCAAAGAGTTGCCCATTTTATTTTTCATCTGATATCCGATATAAGCATTAAGATAATGACGGATTCAGAATTTTATTGCGAATTTTTACAACTTTTTAATAATATTTATAAAAGAAATATATATTAGAAATCGTTAACAAGATAAGCTTTTGATCCAGCGATTGAGATAGAACCTACTTAAGCATTTTTTTGCCCTCCTTGATGAGGGTTAATATCTCCTTAAATTTTGAATATGCCTATGCATTGAGCTTTTGTTCTTTTTTTTTTGAAAAAAGAAAATAAGATTGTTGGAAACTCATAAATTTTAATTCCAAAATTACTAATCCTAGAACCAAAAAAACTCCTATTAAATGTAGAATAAGTTAATCCCAAATTTATTATCGAAATTATCCCTCACACTAAAAAAAATAAAAATTAAAGGTGATTGGAGAAAAATGAGTTGGTCTAAGCTAAAACAAAATATATTTCCTTGAAAGTTTTGTTTCAAACCAAAAAGGAAAGACAAACAAGCAGGCCAGAGGAAACAAGGTGAGTGAATTTATGCAATTTTATTCTTTCCTTTTTTCTCCACAAACAACGATAACATACTCGGTGTAACTTTATAAGCAAGGTCAGTGACAAATAAGATATATACATAATTTATTCCTATTTTTTGGTGTAGCCCTATAGAGAGGTTAGAAAAAGTGTAATCGATCATAACAGAATTGAAAGAAAAATAACAACAGCAATAAACAAAGCAACCATATTAATAGATAATAGTAAAATTTAAGAAAAGAATACTAAAATACTAGTTAATTTTGCATATATTATGCAAGTATATTGAAGGAAATTAGAATGGAAAATAATGAATTTACCCAGGCAGAATAGGGTACTTGGAATTATCCCATTCATTCTTGAGCATATGAAGATCTGAGTGACAAATTCCACAATACAACACTTTGAATTGTACATCATTCTCCCCAGTAGCCCTACACACACAAATAATAATAATAAAAAAAAAAATAAAAAAATAATAATAATAAATAATAATAATAATAATTAAAAAAATTAGAAATTGAGCATTTTAAAACACTATGATCTTAACAAAACTAGAGTTAAACTCAATATTATGTATAATCATGGGTGGAGCCAGAGGGAGCGGAAAGGGATCATCCGAACCTTCTTTGATGTAAAAAATAATATATATATAATTAAGGTCAAGTTTTATGTATGATAAACTTCATAGTGAAAATCGTTTCAACTACTATATACAATTTTAAAAATGTACATAGTATGTAGACACAAATCGATCTAAACACCACTATATTAAAAAAGGAAAGGTATATATATACTAATTAATATAGGTTGTATAGTCCTTAATCAGAACCCTCGAGTTCAAGTTTCTGAGAATGATTTTTTCTTTTTATTAATAGTGTCTCCACTAAAAATGAATATGAAACACGCGAATTCTCGAACCCTAAAATGAATATTGAATATTGAGCAGAAAGAAACTATACCTTCTTGAGAAATTGAAAGGAGAAAGAACACCAGAAGTGTCTCTAGCTGCCCATCCAAATGCCTTAATTGGGTGCTCAATTTCATAGGATTTTGCCATTTTTTCCCCCAAAGTAAAGTTAATTAAAATTCACCTAAAAATATAATAACCAAAACAAAAAGTTGAAACAGAAGAAAATGTGTATAAAATTAAAACCAAATGCCCATTTGGTATTCATATTTATAAAAAAAAAACGTTAGATTTTGGTTGATTGGTTCATTCATTTCTCAATTTCTAATCTCTAAAGGATAAAAACGTGCAAAAAGAGATAAAATAATATATATATATATATATATATATATACTCTTTCCTTCTGTTCGTTTTATTTGATCTATATTGACTTGATAGTTTTAAAAAAAAAAAAATTGTTAGGGGTTTACTTTTTCATAAATTAACCTTATTAATTATGTTTTGATAATTTAAATTTGGCAACTTATATTTTATGTAGTTATGTAATGATAACGGTGTAGTACTGGGAGAAAAATAATGAATTTCTCTTAATTTATTAAAATAGACAAGTAAAAAAATACGTAATAATCTATTTTTAGTATAAACGCTAAGTAAAATAAAATGAAGGAAAAGAAAATATATTTTTAGTTAATCATTTAATGTAAAAATAAATAATATAATTACTAATTCAAAACTCTTTTTAAAAATCCGACCAAACATGAGACAAACTAATCCTGAATTTGGTCTCGAAGTTATAATCCTTTATCCCTCAAAATAAACGTTAAAGTTTTGTTTTGAAACAAATAAAAGCATGATTGGAGAAAAAAAGAAAAAAAGAAATTATTATCCTTAGCATTTTTGTTTCAAAACAGAAAAGAAAGACAAAAAAGCAGGCCTTATGGAAACAAGGTAGGTGATTTTATGAAAAAAAAATCTGAATTTGGTCTTTCGTCTCTAAACTATTAACTATGTTAAAAACATCACTCTAATTAGCTAGCTGAACTTAAATACTTATGTAGACGACAAATATCAGACACTCATAGACAACACAATTAAAGTTTTCATTTATAAATCCGTGCATTGAGAACCTACTTTTAACATAGAGTAGTCTAACACGATCATAAGTGAGATCCGAAGCTAATAGTGTGTATGTAGATTGTACCTCTACATTGAAAAATAGAAAGGTTATTTTTCGATAGATCCGGCTCAAGAAAAAAACGTAACAAAACAATAAAGATCAAGGAGATTATTACATGCTTCAATGAAATGGGAAAGGTAGAAACCATTGCCCTTCAATTGAAATTTTAGTGAACATTTAGCAACAATAATCAGACAGTATAATTAATTAAATAATTAGCCCTTTCTTATGTCATACAAATGAAATTAATTAGCCCTTTCTTATGCCATATAATATATTGAGTGCAACAATATAATGAGATGCCCAACATGAATACATCAAGGTTAATAATGTCATAATATAAATATCTAAGAGGGCTATAATGTAATTTCATAGAATTAGGGTTTTCTAAATGTTATAAACACAGCCTCCAAACAAACTTATTATAGTAGGAAATAATTTCAATATATCTTATATATGTCTAGCAACTTTTTTGAAGACTCATATTCACTTTGCTTCACTTTTTTTTCAACTCTCAAATACTTTTTTGATCTATAGCCTTGTATGTCAAAGCTTCGATACGCACCTGAATCGACAATGTATGAATATTGTTCAGACTTTTTAAAAATATTGTGCGTTCATTGTTTTTATGAGTCTGAATAACATATATAAATCATATATAATACATATGTCGATTCAGGTTCGTATGAAAACTATGACATACTTCAAGGATAACGTATATGATATTCTTTTGAATAATTTGATATTTGAATTAATTTATGGGTGCAAACAACAATATCTATATATATGTAGATTCTGAAGGGATACAAATGTAAATTACACATAACTAGGGTTTTCTAAGTAATATAAACACAGCCTCCAAATATTTTATTGGGAATAAATTCAACGGCCAAGATTTTCTTTTAACATTACCCAATATATCTATATAAACACTACTAACTTTTTGAAGCCTCACATCAATTCATACACATTTTTATTCTATTGTTTTTTTTTTTTTGCAGCTATTTGATAGCCTTTGTATGTCAAAGATTGCAACACACCTGAATCGTCAAATATTTTTTAATATATATTTGTTGATTCAGGTTTGTATGCAAACTATGACATATTTTAAAGGATGATGTATACAGGTCTATTTCTTAATGGTGAGATTTGAATTTTAATCTTTTGTAATTTTTGTATTTTTGTTTTATTAATCGTTAGATCATATTATCGAGTCTTAAATCCACTCTATTTCAATTGACAGTACTCTCATTTTTCTAAACTACCGTTTTTTTATTTCTTTTTTGATGTTTTTATGTTCGGATTTTATTTTGAATTATGAGATATTCATTCAAAAAAATAATTAGTGACAGATAAATTTTATTGTCAAACAATAAATATTAATTGCTAATCTTAATTAATGATGGATTATCAAAAAAATGTTATGTTAGTTGGGTGGTCTTTAATTATTTGGGTTCATAGGTGAGATATTTTTTTTTTGAAAATCACTTGGTATTTTTGGAATTAAAAATCAAGTTTTACGATATTTTTATTAAAAAAAAATCAGACCCTTAATAGAAAAAAGGTAAATATGTACCATTTGTTATACGTATATTCGATTCTGCTTTACTGAGAACAATTGGGAGGAAGAAGTGAATAAATAGTTGTTTGTAGCATTACAATTTAAAACATAGTCAAGGTTTTAACAACAATATTAATAATAATATATTTTGTAGAGTCCCCACCCTAACTTAGGGGAAGAGAGTAAAAAAATAATTTAAAATTGTCTTTGCAAACTTTATAATGAAAATTTTAAAATTAATTGGCTCTTCAAACTTCATAGTCGAATTTGAAATTCAAACTCAATAATATTTCCTTGAGGCCAACTTCAAGCTCGGAACATTAAACTTAAGGTCTAAAGTTTTCCGTAACAAGTTAAGAATTGTGTTTATTTAAGTTTTGTTTAATTTATTAAAAAGTGGTTAAACTTTAAATAGTTTTTGAAAAACATGGCTATGTTTAAAAAGGTGCCAATCACATATGCACTGCCTGGGCCCAATTTTGGAGTAAATTTAGACTTTTGGCCCATTACTGAACTTTGTTTTGGGCTTGGGTGTAGTAGCTGGTAATAAAATACATAAATAAGAATTAACTATTTTAACTTAGCATCGACGTGTGTTTTGATGCTCAATTGATAGTTGAGGTATGAAACTAATAAAAAGGCGATCATACTTTAGGCAGGTAAATAAATAGAACAATATATAGTTGAGGTATGAAATTTGGGGGAAAATGATAATTTAGACATATAAATAAAATATAATGGATAATTGAAGCCTTAAATTTGCGAAAATGAGATATAAAAACAAATTTGAAGATTAGAAATTCAAAATAACAAAGACTTAAAAGGGTGAAAATTTCAGATAAGAAACCCACCCTAATGGCCAAAAATCTATATTTTGGCCATAATTTGTTGTTTTATTTTAAATTCATAACGCTAATATTCAGATCAGCTTACACCCAGCTTTCGATGTTTTCCCAATACCGAGCACGAATCGATACTTGACATCCAATTTCAAAAGGCGTTCCATGGTAATATTCACATAATTCAGTGAAACAACTTCAACTTGAGGTGTAATATTATGTTTTGCTGCAAAATCAAGCATTTCTTGGGTCTCTTCCATTCCTCCAATGATGCTTCCTCCCATTATTTTCCTACCTATAAAAATTTAAGTAGATGTTATTAGAACAATATTGAAAAAATCAGCGGAACACATCGACAATCATTTAAATTTTCTAGTAAATTTTATTTAGGCACTCGATTACGACCTATTTCAATGAGCCATGTAACACATAATAAAGTGTTCATATTAGATACTTTCAGCTTAAATTATAGAAAAGCTTTTATACGTGTTCTCATGACCTATCACATAGATAAGTTAACTGCATAAAATATGTTATATACTTTAATTATATGCATTAGCCTCAACTGGAATAAGCTTGAGGTTTTACAGCTTATTGAGGCTAGTGCATATGATTAAAAGAAGTGACATATTTTTAGTAGTTATACTTATCTACGCAATTGATAATAACAACACTTTATCATGTGCTTAGTCAAAATAGACCATAGTTCAAGTGTTTAAATGACATGAAATTTACTAACAAGTTCGAGTTATTTCTGTTACCCATAAGCAAAGGCCAAGCTGGCAACTCAAGTGGCTTTGGTGGTAAACCAACCATTACAAGCTTTCCATGAGGCTTTAATATATTGAGCAATGGAGCAATTGGATGTTCTGCTGAAACTGTGTCTATAATTCCATCCAATGTGCTTGTTGCACCCTGCATAATAATAATAATAATAATAATAATAATAATAATACAACTTGTATTATAATGTGTGATCAGACAAACAAATTAAAACGAAGAGAATATTATATCAATCCTAGCTCACATACCGTTTCAATGTAAGCAAACATGTCAGAGGACTTATGACCCGACATGTACATTGTTTCAACAAAAACCTGTCTAATTACACAAATATTCGTATCATATTTACTAATTCTCTCTATAGTTTGAAATAATTACATATTGTCTCACAAATTAATAATTCCATACCAAATACACTGAAATAAGGAGAAAGGGGAGCAAGAGAAGGAAAAAGGCGAGCGAGATAGTCTATGTATCCCAGATACATGCGAATCACACTAGATACATGTATATGGGATACCAGATACATTTTGAAATACAGGTAGATAGGGAGAGAGGTGAGCGAGAGAGGAGATAGGCGAGAGGCAGCGCGAGGATCAGGTACATACAAATCCATTTGGATACAATATATCTGGAACAAATTCACTTAATTTTAATTAAGCCTCATGTATCCGAAATCCAAATTTTGGTAAGATTCATAAAATTGAAAATTCGTGTAAATGGAAACAATTTGCTCCTAAACCAGTGAGAAAAAATACCTGATTTGTTCTTGATCATGACTAATCAAGAATGAATTAGCACCAAGATGTTTAATTGCTTCATCCTTCTTATTAATAGAAGTACTAATAACAGTCACATTGCATCCAAAAGCCTTTGCAAATTTCACAGCCATATGGCCCAGCCCACCAAGGCCCACAACACCAATGTTCAATCCAGGCTTATCAAGCCCAAAATATCTCAATGGGCTATATGTTGTGATACCAGCACACAACAATGGGGCAGCATCCATCGGTAAATTCTCCGGCCAACGGAGCACGAAATGCTCGTTGGCTACCATGAGATCGGAGTAGCCTCCGTGTGTGGTGGTTCCGTCATAGTAAGTTGTACTATACGTGCCAATACTGCTAGAACAATATTGTTCGAGGTCATTGGTACAACTATCACATTTTCGACATGATCCTACGATTACTCCAACACCTACATTGTCCCCCACTTTCACTTTTTCAACCTTGCTACCGACCTCGGTTACCACTCCCACGATCTCATGCCTGTAAAAACACACGTAAGATGTTGTTATAATCGAGGTTCAGTATCTACACAAGCCATACAAGAAAACTAAAATACAAATTTAATAAAAATATTTTCCTTTCTTAATTACCCTAGTTAATTTTCCAAAATTTAAATATTCTTCAAATAATTAATTTACCCAGGCACAATAGGGTACTTGGAATTATCCCATTCATTCTTGAGCATATGAAAATCTGAGTGACATATTCCACAATACAACACTTTGAATTGTACATCATTCTCCCCAGTAGCCCTACATCAAATAAAATAAAAATAAAAAACATTAAATAATTTCTTCTCATATGTCGAAGCGAGTAAAACAATCAATGTCTTAACGTATAAATTAATTAAGATGCGCATAAACAGGTTGGATTATTATTACTTACATTAAAACATAAATAAATACATTAATCGAGATACGTGCAAATCGAGTACGATTACCACGTACCATTATTAAGTAAAAAGGGATTAAAGTCCCACCTAAATTATATCACTTATACATATGTACAAGGTTAAAAACTTAAATGTAATGATGGATCCTTGAACAATTCTTTAAGTTTGTCAAAAGAAAACAAAAAGTTTGATGCACTAAGTGGTGGAAATCTTATGAAAAATACTTTATTATGAAATTTTGTTGAGAATTCTTAAAAGTTTGAGACATGTCAAAGATACTGTGTTCAAGTATATTTCACCTGATCTAGATGTATTTCTCATAATTTAACAAACTCTTCTATTATAAAATACTATGAATATCGAAACTAATAAAATTATAAAAATAAAATCATACCTTCTTGAGAAGTTGAAAGGAGAAAGAACACCAGAAGTGTCTCTAGCTGCCCATCCAAATGCCTTAATTGGGTGCTCAATTTCATGGGATGATTTTGCCATTTTTCACCTCAAAAAAGTGAAGTTTTTAAGAAAAAAATAGAAGAGAGCCAAACAAATGAAGATTTGTAATCAAGTAGCTACTATTTGGTATCCATATTTATATATAAAAAAAAACTAAGCTAGATGCATATTGGACATATGTTTTGGTGAGATGATTGAGATTTATTCAGTTCTAATTAAAGATTTCGTGTTTGAGTTCTTAAAATGTAAAAAAAATTACTATTGGGAGTATTCACTACAACATAAACAACTTTTTGTGGCAATAGATATGGAGTGATACCGATATTAGTTAATTGACGTCATTGGATCCAATATCGCTATAGGCTAAGAACATTTGCAAAGAATGTTAATTGCATCTAAAAAGATATATTTAATAACAATTAAATTATTATCATTAATTAATTATCTCTAAAAATTATTTTTGCTTATCACTAGATGTGAATCTTATAATACGAAAATTCAAATTTAATCGAATCAGAATGCAGCTGTCAAATACCACGTGAATAGCCTAGAAAAAAAATATTGTCGTCTGCCATGCTGCCCCCATAATTTTTGAATTTTAAAGGACCAAAAAAAGCCAAAAGAGAAAAAAACATGTACCAAATACAACTAATTTATCTAAATATTTAATTTAAGTATTTGAACTCTAGTGTGTAAAATGATCCTGAAGTAATTAAATAATATATTTTGGATAATTTTGATTCAATAGATTATTGTAGTTCAGCGATTTCAGACGTC